GATTGATTAGATTTTTAATGAGATTAATTAATAATGATAATGTGTGATTGGTCAATCTGCTTTTGATTAGATTTTTAAGTGATTGATTAAATTTTGCTTTTGATCAATTACTAACGTATCATTTCGCAGAAGGTTCTCTTGACCGGCTTCGTTGCCGCTTGTACTGCTTACCGTCATATCTTCGCAAGTGTGGGGGACACCGATCTCTACTTCTTTCATCATGACTGGTGGGACTCGTTTGCACAAATCTTCTAAAATGCCCTTCCTTAATCAGATCTTCGATTTTATCCTTGAGAGTCGTGCATTCTTCGGTGGTATGTCCTCTATTTCTATGAAATTGACAAGATTTGCTCTTATCTGCTCGAGGGGGGTATTGGCACGTCTGGGCATACTCAAGATTTTTATTGATAAAGCCTGATCAAATATCCTGGTCCTGTTTGTGTTGAGTGTGGTGTAAGAGGAGTATTTAGGCCCTCTGGGTGGCCTTTCGGGCTCCTCCTTTCTTCTATTTTCTTGCGGGAGTTTGAAAGTCTCTCTTTTGTCCCTATTTTTTGGGTTTTGCCCTAGATCTATCCGAATTTGATTTCGGTATTCGGCTAATTCTTCCATCTGCATATACTTGGCTGCCTGACTCCATAATTCATCCACATCAGTTGGTGGCCTTTTGCAGATATTGTTTACGAAAGGTCCCGGCTTTAGGGCCGTCGTAAGGTGGTGCATGGCCACTACTAGTTCTAGATTGTGGATGGAGATGGTCACTTTGCCAAATCATTCCATGACCGCTCGAAGTGATTCTCCTTTTTCTTGACGAATGTTAACCAGTGTTAAGGATGTCAAGGGGTGAGGGCGACTTGTGGCGAACTGTAGATTGAATCGCCGGGTGAGGGTTACAAAAGAGCCAATGGAGGAAGCGGGAAGTCGGGTGAACCAACTGAGGGCCGGTCCTCGAAGAGAAGTAGGGAAGATCCTGCACCATAAGGCTTCGTTTTCCGTATACAGAGTGACTTGCGTAATGAAGATATCCAAATGTTCTCCTGGATCTGTTGTTCAATCATACTTCTCTAATGTTAAACCTTTCCAGTTATTGGGTAATTTGACATCCAAGATAGATTGGATGAAAGGGCTCTGACCCGGGGCCTCATCTCGTTCGGCTGGGGTTTCAACTTGACTTCTCCTTGGCTTTTCTTGCAACGCGGATGATTCTTCCTGCTCTTGAACGAACGGAGTAACTTGAGAGGGCATATGGGTTTTAATCCCTTCTCTTAAGTTGACGTTTTCCCTCCTTAAGGTCGAGATCTCAAGTGCATCTCTTTCTCTGACTTGTTGTATTTCCCTCATCTCGGCTTGGAGCTGCCTCACCAAAGAAGAGAGGCCTACATCTGCACCCCTTTCGGTTAAGGCTTTAGGGATCATTTGACTGGGTGTGACATCTTCCTGCTGCCGAGAAGTTCGTCTTTGGTAATTTTGTCCCTCCTGTTGGCTTCTTGTTAGTACCATAATGACTAAAAAAGCGAGGCTACTAGAGCTCCACGGTGGGCACCAAAATGTTCTTGCTAGAGAAACACTAGTCTTCAGGTCTCTGGTTGGATGGGGTGACGTCTTTCTGTATCTTACTGGTGTTACTTGACGTGTCGAGGGTACCTGCAAAAGGCACTCCGATGCTGAAGTCAGATATATGTTTTTTTAGTAACAAGTATTCTTTTTTATCAAAAAATCCCCCTTACCTTAGTTCCTTCTTCTGCTTTTATAGACTTCAAGATGGACTGGATTCATCGTTAACTAGGTCCTTTAAAAGATTCTAAGCCCTGTATCTATGGTTATTGTTTGGTTATCAGTAGTTATCAGTTAGCCCCTTAATCCTCGGAAGGTGTTCAGTTTTACTAACCGAATAGTGGTAACCTCATCAATAAGGCTGCCTAAGCCCTATCCAGTACACGAAGAAATGATAAAAAAAAAAAAAAAAAAAAAACATCTAAAGCGGAATAAATTGCCTTGGTATAGTTTTATCCGCATTTTTTTAAACAATCGAAGGTATTTGAGTTTGTTCGAACATTAACATAATAAAGTTGAGTCAGGCATTACGAATTAAATGGTATATAAGCAAAAGAATTATGATTCTAAGTAGTTTAAGGCATTTTAAATAAATAAATTGCTTAAACTTAAAAATTCACACTTTAGGTATAAGTTTAATCTATATAAATAATAAAATGTTAAAAATTAAATAAGAAGATTATGAATATAAATTATTTAAAATATTTTATAAAAAAAAAGTCTCTCAAACTTAAAATACGCTCTCTCTTTCTAACTCTTAATTTGAGTTCATACTAAAAATACTAATAAAAATTCAAATTATTAATATTGTGAATGTCTTTCAATCGTCAATTCACTTACTTCTTTGAGACTTTGAGTTGATCAAGATTCTTTGATTCACGTGTTTTATGACAAGTTGAGTTAACTAGTGTTAATATTTCAGATTGGTCACAGAAAAGGAACAGTGCACAATCTTTATGTATTTATTTCATTATTATATTTTGGCATATTGTTTTATTATATTATGCTAGTTGGAACCCACGTGGGATGCATTTGGCCACCGACATATGTCTGCATTGACGGGGTAAGGGGATGTGATATACTTGTATATATGAATGTTCATAGCAGCTCCAATTTGACATTTTCAAATACGTATTGATACTTGTATAAATCTTTTTGTTCTTCTGCATCTTCTCTTCTCTACCTCTCTACCAAATTTTGTCCTACTTTTTTATTTTATTTTAATTGTTTTTTATTTTATTTACATTTAATTTCTTATTTATCTATTTTTTTACCTTCACTCTGTATCTCATTATTGAATTATAAAAACCAACTGTTTATTATTAATTCTTAGAAGAATAAGATATTTTTAAATTTTTATTTAAAATCAAACTCCAAAAAATATATATATTCTTAAATAAATCAAATTCAAACATTAATTAATTTTAAAAAATCAAACTCAAATCTTATATTACATAATGTAAATTTTTTTACCTGTATTTGTAAAATTTTGTAACACAAATCCATTCCAGTTGAATTGTATCACCCTTTGTAAACATAGGTTTGCATTATTATTAACTCTAGGATGATTGTGATATTTTTTTTCCACTTTAATTTATGTAAGGAACACAATTTATTCTGGCAAAACTATTGTCAGAAAAGGTTGTGTCATAATTTTGGAGACTTACATGTACTCTTTTTTTTTTTCGTTATCTATAAATATGAAATTTATTTCATTTATTCCATTTTAATTATTTATCATCGTATCTTCATTTATTTATTTATTTTAATTTTGTTACTCATTATAAAATATAATTGATAAATAAACTGATAAATTTAAGACGATGTAAAAGAACATTTTTATGTGATAACTGTAATGATAGGCTTTCAAACGACTACTATCAAGCACATTGTGAGATTGACTTTACCTATTTTTTTAATATATAAATAACAATCAATTTGCAAGTTAATCTATTCCAAACCTGCATGAGTTTAGATAGCTAAAAGAACTTGAATTTACTTTCAAACTCTCTTTTCATAAGCATTTTATGGATTGACATATTAGGTTTACTCATTTTATCAGTTTGAAATAAAACATATAAAATTATTTAATATTATTTTTAAATAATTTAAAATGTTCAATAAAATAATTAGATGACTTCAGCAGAATGATATTTTTCTGTTTGGGCAAGTCGAATATTGGGTTAACCCACGGGCTCACATGCAGGTTAAACCTTTTCTCATCTATTTCGCTCTTCAACTTTGAAGGAGCGCACCCGTTTCTCTTTTTTCCTCTATGACAATTGTTATTTATAATATTTTATTTTAGAATTTTTCAACTCACCAGATTTTCTTTAATTATGTATATATATATTTAAGATTCGTTAAAACTACCGTTGATTCCGATTTCTGACACAGTACAAGATTTAAAAAAAGAGTACAAAGTTTTATTATTGCATTAACAGAGTGATTTAATTAAAATAAAGCAAACTTACTAATTATTGAAGCTTAAGAATATTACCATTGGTTATAATAATTTTGTATTTTTTGTAACAACTGCACAGTATTTCACAGATTAATTTTTTTTTTAAAAAATAACTTTATTAACCAGGCATTCAATAATGACTATAAACAAAGATATACTTCAATTATGTGATTATTTATTGTAAATCGTATTCACTACAAAAATATTTTAAAAAATAAAGTAAAATAATAAAAATTTATTTTAAAATAATAATATTTTTAAAATAATTTTTGTATTAAAATTATAGTATTTAATAACATTAATATATTAAATTTTATCATTTTTAATAAAATTTATTATATATACAGTTTTACTATGTCAAATTTATTAATGTCAGAAATTAAAATAAAATAATGATAAATATTAATCAATATACTTAAGTGAGAAAGTAAAATATATTATTAAAAAATATTATTACTGAACATTTTTATGATTTTTAATATGTATTAAAAAGTGTTATTAATAATTTTTTATGATTTTAAACATATTTTATCTCACACTTACTCTTAAAATTATGGACTCAAACCTAATTTAAAGAAATTAATTGTTAAGAAATTAATAAAAAAAATACTATCACATTTAAAAATGATTATTTATAGTTTATAAAGCTTTACAATTTATTTTTGAACCAATTATCTGTAATTTATGGATATTAATTATATTCAATGTTAATAGTTTTCACTTACATATCATTATAAATAATATCAATTAATTTAAAAATATTTATAACAAATTTATATTATAACTTATAATTAATAAGATAGATTTAAACAAATGATGTCTAAAGATTAAATTCAATATTGATTATTGTCTGAAAATGTTAGTTAAAACACTAACAATATATGAAGAATTTTATTTATTCAAATTTATTGTAGTTTTTGATAATTTAAAAATTTGTGTTTATTAATTCCTTATAAAGGCCTTAAATTAAAATTAGTAATAAATTGTGGGCAGTGGGATCGGAGGCGAGCGGGGAAAGTGTGTGACAGAGAATGGAGAAGTCAGGAAAGAGAGTGTTGCTGAGCTCAAACGGCGACGACATCTCGCAAGGCATTGCTTTCCACTTAGCCAAACAAGGATGCAAGTGGGTTCTCCCTCCTTGGTTCGATTACTGGGTACTTGATGTATTCATTCAATTAACTTTGTTCCTTGATTGATTGATTCAGGGTGGTTTTGATGGGGGAGGAGAGATGTCTAAATAGCATCGCACAAAAAATCATGGGTTCCCTCTCCCTCAGAAGCAGAGACGCTGATCCCGTGGTGCAGGTTGTTGGATTGGACTTGCAGAGTGAAGACGAATCTGCTTTCAGTGAGTCTGTCGATAAGGCATGCCAGATTTTGGGGAAACTGGATGCTTTTGTAAACTGTTACACTTATGAAGGTAAATTAATATTAATATATTAATTCTCATAGTATGATTCTGTTACCAATTGGAAGTAATCTAACCGTTTGAAACTAAACAGGAGAGATGCAAGAGCATCTGGATTTAGCTGAGAGTGAGTTCATCAAAATAGTCAAGATTAATTTTATCGCTGCTTGGTTCTTGTTAAAGGCTGTTGGCCAAAGGATGCGGGATTTCCAGAACGGAGGCTCCATTGTGTTTCTGACATCCATAATTGGTGCTGAGAGAGGGCTTTATCCAGGAGCTGCCGCTTATGCCTCAGCCTTGGCTGGAGTGCAGCAGTTAGTTAGGGTAAGAATAAGACAGTATCTTTCTTTCTCTCTTTCTTTATATATATTATTTATTAGAAAAATAGGCTTATCAATTTCATCGCTGTATGTTGGATGTGTCCTTGTATGTTGCTGTTTCTTGGATCATTCTACAAAATTGAGACAACTTGTGTTTTCTAAGACCCCAATCATTCCTTTCTGTGATTGCCTCATTTGCTTTGGGTATACTTGTGATTTGGGTTACATCTTGCCATGTTTATTGTTCATGTCAACGCACGAGTAAATTGTGGCAAGAAATAATCAGCTTTGATTTGGCTGAGGTGATATGCACAATGGATGTGGTGCTTATTTTATTGAGTCATTTTAAGAAGTTTTGCAAGCTAATGGAAAAGGCATAATTTGATCAGCTATGATGATTCAAGTCAAATAATGTTTTCAGTTGATAAATTAATTGTAGAGGTGCTGTGTGATGTGTTATCACACAATCCACGAAATCCTTTGTTTGAAAGTTTGGTGCTCTTTGATGTTATCCTCTTATTATCATTTTAAGTTTATTTGTATCAAATAAATACTATCTGTTTATGTCAGGCTTCGGCTCTGGAGATAGGGAAGTACCAAATCAGAGTTAATGCGATTGCACGAGGCCTGCATCTGCATGACGAATTCCCATTATCAGTGGGAAGGGAAAGGGCAGAGAAATTGGTAAAGGAAGCAGCGCCACTTGAGCGATGGCTTGATGTTAAGAATGATTTGGCGTCTACAGTCATCTATCTTATCAGTGATGGGTCATGCTACATGACAGGAACAACCATATATGTTGATGGAGCACAGTCTATAACCAGGCCTCGGATGCGGTCCTTTATGTGACTTTTCATCCTAAGCTGCTACTTATGGAATTTGGCTATGGATAGCCAGGACATTTCTTAAAACCACACACTTTATCGGTGGATTTTGTTAAAATAAGTTTGTCGAAGTTTGTCGAACTAAAATTATGTTTGACTGCAATCATATTACACATGTAAGATGTCTGAAAGTGGGGTCGTCTAACAGGTGGCCAAAGTACTAAATTGAAAATTTGGGATAAAAAAGATACATCTATTGACATGTTTCATCTCCGAAGGCTTTTCGTTGGCTATTGCTAAATTTAAGTTCAAACTCCTCAGGCGTGGTAACAAAAGTTTGCACCCTTGTTTGATCTTACCTCAGGAGAAATTAACCCGCCCGAAGAACTTGAAAAGAACATGGAAGAGAGGCTTGATTTTAGTGGTACATTGTAATAGTAATGTTAGTTATAATATTTAAAAGAGAAAAGGTTTTTTTATACCAATATAATTTATAATTCATTAGATATAAGTTAAATAAAATATTTAGATTAAGTGTAAGAATTTTTAAATTTATAATCGTGAAAAAAGATCATGTCTCTATTTATAAATATCTAAAAATTAATTAATTAATGAACTTTTTGAGCTTTAGTTTTTTTATATTAAATAGGATAAAAAACTCAAAAAAATACAAAAGTTTAAGCAAACACTCTACGCCAAGAAACTCCTAAAGAATCCAGGATCAAGGGAAGGGGAAGCTCTAGTAAAACAAGATATATCATCCTCTGACTTATGTTTAGTCAATCAATCAGCACAATAGTTAGTTTCTCTCAAAATATGATTTAGCTTAACAAACTTAAATTTTCTAAAAATGTTTCTAATTTTATCAATGATAAAAAATAACGGATGAGCACTACTTTAAACATTAGTTACTAAAGAAATAGCATCATTAGAATCACATTCAACCCAGATTACATTGATATTCCTAGAGACAACACTCTCAAGACCCTAATAAATTTTTCAAAGTTCTGCAGCAATGAGGGAACAAGGAGGGAGCACCTTATAAAACCAAGCTAGAAAGGTCCCCTTATGGTCACACAGCAAACCCCCGCAGCTAGAACTACCAGCAGAAATAAGAGCAGTGTTCAGCTTGAATTAGTCCCTTGGAAGAGGAATCCACTTAACAAGGCTTCTAGGTTCCAAACCATCAACAGTATGATTCTAGTTGCCCCTGTCACAAAGAACCATATAGTCAAAATCATTAATTATTTTGTTCAACAAAGCATCATAGGATAAAGAAGAATTTTGAAAAACCACACAATTTCTATTACACCAAAAATTCCAACTGATTATATCAAACAATTTACTCCAGGATAGAAACAAGGTAAACTGGCTACTGAATAGATTAAACTTCAGCCAGTTATGAAGATCAAGACTGAAAAAATAAGACCATTGGTCAGGAGGAATAAATCGATTCCAAATTTAGGAGGCACAATTACAATCTCTAAGAACATGAACAACTGTCTCAGGAGATTCATAACACCTAGTACACAAAGGAGAAGAGGACATTTTGTGACTATATCTTTCCTCATTAGTCAAAAGCTTACCATGAGCAACTTTCCAAAGAAAAATATTAATTTTTGGAAGACCCTCACAATCTCAAACAAGTTTAAAAATATGATTATCAACCCACCCACTTAAGTATTGACCAGCAATAAGAGAATAGGCTAATTTGAATGAAAAAAATACCATTATTAGACAGTCTCCAAAAAAATTGGTCCTCATCCTAATTCATCAAAGGGGAAACAAGGCTAGCAATAGAATTACAGATAGAAGGAGGAAGGACATGGTGAATTCTATCCCAATCCCATCTATCCTGAAGAACAAAAGAAGCTACAGGTTCATTCAAAACTTCTCCAACAAAAGGCTAAATAGCATATTGAGACAGATTTTGATAATTTGGAAGCCAAAAATCCTTCCAGAAATTAACAATCATCGCATTCCCTAAGGACCAACCCAATCCCTGATAGAAAAAACCCCAAACAACAGACATAGATTTCCAAAGGGGAGAGGTTTTATTATTAGTATTAATCACAGGACTTTTGCCTAAGGAAAACTTGTACTTCTTACACATAACCTGGGACCATAATTCAGAAAGACAAGAAATAAACCTCCACTAGAGCTTCGTGATAAAGGCTTGATTGACCAAAGCAATCTTTCGGAAACCCAAACCACCCTCACTTTTGAGTCTACAAATTTTATCTCAACCTATTAAATGGCACTTCCTACCTCCCAAGGATCCCCAAATAAAATTCTTACAAAGAGTATCAATTTCTTTACAAACAGATTTAGGGAAAAGGACAATTTCCATAAAATAATTAAGGATGCTCATAATATATGACTGAGCAAGGATAACTCTACCAGTCATGGATAACGAATTCATTTTCCAAACAGAAAGTTTTTTTCTAATTTTATCAATTATGAAAGCAAAATCATGTCTTAATAATTTTAAATTACTAATTGGGATTCCAAGGTATTTACCAAACTGAGAGCAAGATTTAAAACCAAGCTTTGTACTCAATTTCATAGACAGACTGGTATCACATTTTTTAGAAAAATACACAAAAGATTTATCTTTATTGATAAACAACCCAGAAGCATAACAGAATTCATTCAAAACCTCATAAATAATCCTAGCATTCGAATTATCAGCTTTAGTAATCAAAATAATATCATCAGCAAAAAACAAATGAGATATCCTAGGACCCCCATTACTAACAGAAAAAGGAATTCAGCAACCACTATTAATTTTATCCTGAATAAGATAAGCAAATCTCTCAAGACACATGACAAATAAGTAAGGGGAAATGGAATCTCTTGCCTTATAACTCTGCCAGGTTTAAAAGATTCAGTCCTATAACAATTCCAGTTTAAAGACATAGATACAAAGGACACATAATATCTAATAATATCACACAACTTTTGATTGAAACCTATGTTCTTAAGTGTATCCGTAATAAATTGTCACCTAAGCCTATCATAAGTCTTTTCTACGTCAATCTTAATAACTATGAAACTACTACTAGCCTTTAGGGTATTAATAGAATGCAACAACTCTTGCAAGATAATAGTGTTGTCAATGTCTTATCTCTGAGGAATTAAATTGGTTTGACTGGCAAAAATGATATGAGGCAAAGTAGCTCTAATTCTATTGGTTAAGAGTTTGGTTATAATTTTTTAGTTTTATTATGTGATTGTAATTATGTATCTATTACTATTTTTTTTTCAACTTTAAAATAATTTTAAGATCATTTTGTTCTAATTATTTTATTTTGACTTATATTTTGAAGAAATTAAGATGAATGATGTAGGATAATTAATTGAGACCTAATAGAAATTAGAAGGGGTTGAGGCCATTTTGTTGGGCCTGCTAGGGTGTAATCCGTGGTAGGGAGAAGAATTTTAGCTTGACCATGTTCTAATAATAAAAATATTTAGTCTCTATAAAAATGAATAAAATTAGTTAAGTCTTAAAAGATATTTTGTCTGTTGTAATTTTAAAATTGTTGAAAATTATCTTTATCATTACGGGACATGCATTTGGAGACCAGCAACATTGGTGATTATTCTAAGGTAGCTTTTTATGAATTTTTTTAAATTAAAAAAATTTATGAAGATCAAAATCAATAAAAATATTTGGAGGACAATTAAATTTATCAAACTTTACAAGGACTAAATTCAACAGCTGAACTTTGTATCTAAATTTAAGTTTAGTATGCATAAGTGCACGTATTATTAGTAGTAATATTGGTTAGTATAACTTCTACAAGGAAGGTGTTAATAAAGATCGACTTTGTTAACGACATTGTGAGTTTGCTCATGACTGAGTTAGTAATAATATCGCATCATGGTCTGGGTCACTCTGCAACTCTTGTATCTTGATTGGATTGAAACAGCTTTGAGTTTATTAATTTTTAAAACCACAAAGATGCTGCTAAATTCTTAACATCAGTCAACAAGAGACGATGGGGTGTCTTTCTAAATATAAAGAAAAGTTTGTTAAACACACACTTACGACCATTCCTTAATCCTCTTTAGACCGTTTGATTTGATGCCTTCATTAAAGAAAACATCAATTGATATTTTTAATGTATGCTCAAGACACAATAAAAGTAACAAATTTTGTAAATAAAAATAAATTTTTATACATTAATAATATTAAATGTAGATAAATTTTAAATAAAAATTATTATTTATTATTTTTAAATGTAATATATTTTAAGTCAAACAAACACTTAACCTTTGCAAGACAAGACAGCAGAGAGTTCCAGCAAATATTATTTTAACAAAAACTAGTCACTGAATAACAAATTTTATCCTACTTTCTTTATTTTATTTTATTTTATTTTATTTCATTTTATTTACATTTATTTTATTTTATTTATCTTCACTCTGTATCTCATTATTGAATTATAAAAACCAAATGTTTATTATTAATTCTTAGAAGAATATATATACACACACATATATTTATTCTTAAATAAATCAAATTCAAACATTAATTAATTAATTAGTTTTAAAAAATCAAACTCAAATCTTATATTACATAATGTAACTTTTTTTACCTGTATTTGTAAAATTTGGTAACACAAATCCATTCCAGTTGAATTGTATCACCCTTTGTCAAAATAAGTTTGCATTATATATTTATATTGTGATATTTTTTCCCACTTCGATTTATGTAAGGAGTATAATTTATTCTGGTAAAACTATAATAAAAAAAGGTCGTGTCATAATTTTGGAGACAATGTTACATGTAATCTTTTTTTTCGTTATCTATAAATATGAAATTTCTTTCATTTATTCTATTTTAATTATTTATCATCGTATCTTTATTTTCTTATTTATTTATTTTAATTTTGTAACTCATTAGAAAATATAATTGATAAATTTAAGACGATGTAAAAGAACATTTTCATGTGATAATTGTATGATATGCTTTCAAATGACTACTATCAAGCACATTGTGAAATTGACTTTACCTATTTTTTTAATATATAAATAACATTTTCTTTTAGACTTTTTTTGTGAAATTATATTTTTGTTTAGGGAAGTCAAATATTGGGTTGTAAAGGCCTAACCCATGGGCTGACATGCAGGTTCAATTTCGGCCTTCGTTTCTCCCTTATTTTGTTGTTGAGAAAAAGAAAACACTTTGTAGCCGTCTTCACTTCCCTTCTCATCCGAGTCGGCTCCAACCATCTTTCCCCCCTCTCTTTTATGTGAGAATTTTTATATATAATAAATATTTTTTCTTTTCATTTCTTAACTCAATTTTTCAGCTGTCAGGTTTGTCTCTTTTTCTTTTCTTTTCAGTCAACTCACTAATTTTTTTAATTTTATTTATTTATTTTTCTAAAATTTATTAAAATTATTGTTTACTCCCACTTGTCATAGAGTATAAGATCAAAAATAATACACAATTTTATTATTATACCGAGAAAGTCATTGAATTAAAATAAAATGGGAAAAAATAATAATAAATATTTAAAAATTTATTGTTTAAAGTAAATGATTTAATATTAATAGAGCTCTCTTCTGAAACTTAGTTATGGAGCATTATGTTGAGGCTGAATTTTATTACTTAGAAAAAAAAAATTATTATTGGATAGAAAATGACACCAAAGAAATTCTATCGTTTATTTTTGTTGTTCAAGACAATTCTCACCCTTTATATTATATAACTTAATTTCTAAAAATAAAAATACTGTAAAATCTATTCAATTTATTAGATTTAGCCATACTTATAGGAAAGCTAATTATTATACTGATGATTTACTAAGTTAAGCTTAGATAATTCATTGTCTTTTTCTTGTATTGATTCAACCTCTCTTTCTTTTTTTTCTTTTTTATCTTGATTCTCTAAATCTTTCGATTCCAAGTTTGACTCTCAGATTTGATTTCTTGTGTGTTATTGATCTTTTAGTCTCTTTAATTAAAAAATAAATAATAAATAATTTAATATAGTTATAATTAAAAGATTTGTCTTTTTCATTATTATTTATTTATTTTAAATGAGAATATTATTTGTTGAAAGATCAAATACTACTACGAGGAATATGACCGTGAAGTGGCAGCAAACAATTGACTGCTAGGACAGCGTATACATTACCGAAAATAAAAATTTTACTTTTTATTTTCTAACTTCATTCTAAATATATAAAAGTTTACGATAAATATGGATAATGATGATAATTACTTAAAGAAAAATTTTATCTTTGAAATATTTACTAAGCACTTTAAAATATAAAACAATATAATTTGGTGATTTATAAAAGAAATTTCTCATCTTTTTATTTTGCTTGAACGGTACTTTAAATTTTTCTGGTAATCGTCACGTCGTGCTTTTATATTAGCATCATTTTTATATTTAAATTTTATTTTAGCACTTATATGAAATTCAGTTTTTATTTGGTTTTTATAAATAAATTTTTAAATAAAAATATATCTTACTACCAAACACGTAAATTAATTGAGAATTATTTTATCTTAACCTATAATATTATTAAATTATACTGTATTACAATAAAATAAAATTTTTAAATAATCTGTATTGCTAACGTTGGTGTCTTTCATCTATTATTTAAATATTTTAAAACTTATCGTTAAAACAAAGTAAAATAAATAAATATAACGATTCATAACAAATGTTAATAGTGATTTATTAATTTTAAACAATTTAAGTATAAATTAATGTATAAAAATTGTTATGAAAAATTAGTATTTAATAGTTTGATAAAAAAATATTTTAGTGTTATACTTTGATATTTTTGAAAAATTATTTAAGAGATCTTTCGAATATAAAATTTATATGCAATAAATTAAATACTTTTGATGCTTTTTTTTCTATTATTACGATAGATAAAGTTTATTATATTGATTATTAAGGTAAAATTTAATTAGAAACTAACATTTGAATTATTATATTTAAATTTTGTTCACAAAATAAATAAAATTATATTTAAAAATGTGAGTAACTTTAATTATAAATTTTAACATATAAAATAAAGAAACAAAATTAAAAAGAAAATTATCACAACTTTTTTAAATAAAACGAAAAATGACTTTATTCCTTAAAAATTAATCAACATTCTCTATATGTAAATCATAATAAATAAAAGTAAAATACATTTTACTTAAATCTCAAAATCATTTCTCTTGTAATAATATTTATAGCCACGTTAATTTAAATAATATTATCTATAATCATTAAATTATATTTTATTGGCTATCATAAATTATCATAATACTTTTTTAACTTGTGTTCGATTGTGAATTTTTTTTTACCTCTACACAAAATATGTTTCTATTTTAGTCTCCTTATGAAACGTATTTTATATTTTAATCCTTATAATTAAAACTTCTATATATACACTAAAATGAAAAAGAAAATATTATATATAAGGAATACAATGAAAATTTATATTATATATAAGGATTAAAATAAAAATATTAAAATATAAAATAACAATTTTATAATCAGCATCACAGATTATTTTAAAATATTTTTTTAGAGAGTTATTTACATTAAAAAAAAAAAACAAAGAAAAAACAGAATTCATATAAAGACTAGAATAATATTTAATTTTTTTACTATATTATAATATCCTGAAAAATTATTATGAAAATTATTTTTATTAATGCAACAGTGTATAATTCAATTAACAATGTAAAAAATGCAATAATAATACATAATATTAAAACCCATGTTATTAGGTCTCCATCAAGTATCAACTAATCATCTACTTTATCTTCTTTTTGGACAAATGCAATTAGTTATTAAACTTACGTAATATGAAATACTTTAACTATTTTTGTGCGCTCGTAGAACGAGGATAACACACAAATTAATAGATATAATTAGTATTTATATTAAATTATCTCAATTTTATAATGTAACATTTTTATTATTTTTATATACAATCTTATAATAAATGTATTATAGAATAACGCTATTTTTGGATTGTTATGATATTCGTATATTAATTACGCAAGTTATATTATATTGTGTAAACCTAAGTTTTAAAAATCTAGGATGGGAGGGTGATGTTTCAAACTGTGAGCATAAGAAAAAGGTTATAGTTATTTTAATTTAAGAAAGCAAGTAGAGATTCAAATGGACAATTTCTTAAATATCATATTCTATTTAACTCTATTTGACTACTTCCACAGAGTTAATTATTTATATTTTAAAAAATAAATGTTAGGTAAACTCAAAAAGGTGTTTTGCGTGATTTGACAAGTAATTTAATTGTTTAAATCCAAAAAAATGTCCAAAGAACATTTATGTTTGTATTTCCCCTTCCAGTCTGCGGTTAATTACAAGTCCATAAGAGGAGACAGGAAATATAGATAGTGGAAGGTGATAAACGTGCTGAATTCAACGCTTGTGACAATGTGTACTGCTTTACCAACTGTAATTATTTTTTGATAATTTAAAATCAACTCTTACAGTAATCATGGTGATAAACAAAAATAGTACAACTTAAATATCCAATTCTTTTATTAATTATTGAATTGTCATATTTTCCAATATCATTAATAATGTTAACATAAATGAAATATTAATTATAAATTGTAGTTTATGTGATGTGGATCATATAAGACAGATAAGACTTGGGAGGAGTAAGTAGAAAAAAAATGGTGGGCTAAAACAAACGAACCGGGACATGGTAGGCACAGGGCGGTAGTGCATTTTCACGTTGTTCTCTTTCATACGTAGTACACGACAACGACACAATGAAGCAGTCTTCGTTCCCATTCCATCTCTTCACTATCATGCTTCGTGCCGCGAAATTTCCTCTCCTTTCAATTCCACTCACGCGTCTCTTTTTTAATTTAACGTTTACTTCCTTTAATTGTTTTTTATTTATGTCTTACGAAAATTCACTATCCTTCATGCACCCATCATTCCCTTTCAGTCAAATTCAGAGTCGTATTTTCCCTCCTACATCTCTTTCTTTCTCTGTTCCCTGCGACTTTTATTCCATCCTTGTTATCACTTCTTCTACTCTTAGCTCCCATTTCGGACTTTGATACTTTGTAAATACTCAACAGGTATGCTCCCATTCAAACATTTTTGGTTCTTATTCTTAATTTATACATAATTATATGTTTTGTTTGTGTTCTTACTTCTTGTGACAAATTATGCTCGTTAATTTTAATGTTTTCATTTTAACCAAGCTCAATTAGCATGAGATATATACCTGTATATACAACTCAAGTGAAAATAGTTAGTTATCGTGAGAATGGGAAAAACAAATATATATAAAAAATGCATGCGATTTATTTAAATGATTGTGTAATCCAGATTTATAGCTGTTAAGTTGAGAACGGTTTTCATTATGCATAATATGTGTGTGTGTGTGTGTGTTTGTGTGAGTGGAATTATTCAGTTACGAATGTAGATGTTGAATTTATAGCTTGAATTTTCAAAGTCATTCGTCTATTGTAATTTCTTTTTTTTGCTGTTTGGTTTCCCATGTTATACATTGATTGAAGTTGCAAAGTCACTCCTCTCTTGTAAAGTAAAGAGTGGGATTTGTGCAGGAGTTGATTTTTTCTTGGGTTCATCCCCCTTGAGAGAATAATGGGGTCGGTTTGCTCAGCCAATAAGGTTAAGAAAAATAAAAATGCAGAGGTTGGAGAGAAGAAGTTGGGGTCTGAGGGGAAGCTTAAGAAGTTAAAGAGCATTGTAAACCGGATAGGAGATTCTAATTCTAATTCAAGGACTACAGATCATGGTAAAAGGCAAAAGAAGAAAAACTCTGGATTTTCCAGTGAATTCAAGCTATCCACTCCTAACACAAAAGAAGAAAAACAGGTATGTTTCCCTTTGCTGATATTAATTTTGTTGACACTGGTGACAGCATACATATTATTCTCGTGGTATAGTAATGTTGTACTAGGAAAACAGTTATGGGGTAATTAAAAAAATGGTTGCAATTTATAGAGAAGGAGCAACTTTATGCATAGTGGTAGCTAATCATTGAGGTTAAAGACCTAAATTTTCCCTGGAACAGTTAACAAATTTGTATGTATGACTCTTACTATTCAACCATTTTGTGGGTGTGTATTAGAAAAGTAACTCACTTCCAAAAACTATCACATAAAAAAGGATTGTTCAAGCTTTATAAGAAATTTTTTAATCATATTTTTTTAGCTGACGTGAGACTTCTTAAGGTTTGTGTAAAAAAAAACTGTGCAATTATAGGCAGAAAATAAATTCATTCAGTGGTTATGTTTGTCTGAGTTCCTTGAATGGCATCTCTTATTCTGTTATGGAGACTTTGCATTGGAATTTTGATGTTTTTTTATTTTGATGAATGATGATGTCTCTTCTTTTCACGGGGCTCCCAGAGAGGCTCCTTTCTTGGAAGAGCTGGAGAGAGGGCAGTGGAAGTTCTGGACACACTTGGTAGTAGTATGCCAAAGTTCAGCACTAGTAATGGGTTTGCCTCTGGCATGGCTCCTAGAGGGAATAAAATATCTATATTAGCATTTGAAGTAGCTAATACAATAAACAAAGGAGCAATTTTGTTTCAATCACTGTCTGAAGAAAATATTCAGTTCCTCAAAAAGGAGATTTTACAATCAGAAGGGGTACATCAATTAGTTTCATGTGATACAAAGGAGTTAATAGGTCTTATTGAGGTTGACAAAAGGTTGTTGCTTATTTTGAGCATCATAAACTTTTCATGTTGTTTTAAATCCTTTATATGTATGTATATATATTTTCCTTTCTCTAACATTCTCTATCTCTGAATTTCGGCGAATTTGTAGGCAAGATTTTAATGTCTTTACCCGGGAAGTAGCTAGATTTGGAAATACATGCAAGGACCCTCAGTGGCATAACCTTGATCGATATTTCTCAAGGTGAGTTTGCTTTCTTTTACATGCTGTCTAATGAGAAGATTATGCTAACTCGTTCTAATTGAATTCTCAGATAATTACAAACATTTAAGATCAATTTTTTTATCCCATGAACAATTTCAGATTAGATTTTGATATCTTGGGCAACAAACAACCAAGGGTAGAGGCAGAAATAATAGTGCAGGAGTTGACCACACTATCTCAGAATACTGCTGTAAGCAAATTGTAGTTTTAATTAAGTTTTGTTTCTATGATTTATCTCGTTGGTTAACTGATAACTGAGCAATGAGCCTAGCATTATGTTATGCTGCGTGTTTTGTTCTTTTTCTTTTAGCATAACACGTATTTTGTAGCATACGAAGCCGATCTATTTATATTTGTTGTGTGTTAAATCTATGATTGATGTTGTATTAGCAGTGTTTCCTATTCTGATATGCTTAAAGTTCAGCTTTCGTCCTGATTTCTATTGGTACCTTCTTTAAATAATTTTTGTTCTTTCTGAATAGGAATTATATCACGAGTTGAATTCATTAGACCGCTTCGACCAAGATTATCAACAAAAAGTTAAGGAAATGGAATCCTTAAATCTTCCCCTCAACGGTCAGAAACTGCACGATATAATTTTCTCTAAAGATTTTTACTTTCATTTCCAATGATGATTTTAGGTTTTATCATTTGCTAAGATTATTATCCTTGGAATCTATCTTGTAAAAATATTACAGTTATTTCCAGAAAGTCTTAGTTTACAATGTTCTGTGTCTACTGTTATCAGCACAAGAGTCTTTTGTTTGATAAAAACACACTCTTACGAAAATTATAATCTGCAATAATTAATTCATTTTTTATAGGTCTGTTCTTTACCATTGTAGGGGACAGTCTCACAGCTTTTGAAAGTGAGATAAAGCATCAAAGAAGGCTTGTGAGGAGCTTGAAAAAGAAGTCTCTTTGGTCCAGAAATTTGGAGGAGGTATATAATTATGAATTTAATAATAATTTTAAAAAATTATGGGAAGGAATATTACATTATATTACTCATTTGAATCTACCATAGACTGCTGAATTCATTCATTTTCCTACATTCCCTCCTCTGAGTAGATAAGTTTTGGATATCAGTGCACAAGTATTTTAACAGTGGACTCGTTCTGTGGATTTACTTGCTGCAGATAGTTGAAAAGCTTGTTGATATCGTTACCTATATACATCAAGCAATTTTGGAGTTCCTTGGAAACTATGGTATGGGATCATATCTCCTATGAATTCCAAACCAACTATTATGTGTCTGATATAATTATTTGATATATTTAAGCTATATGCATGCCCATATGTTCTTGAATCACTTTTTGTCACTTTTTAATTGGAAGATTATAAAAACACATGAAGACTTATCGTCAGAAAATAGGAGCTTCTGATTATTAGTTTTCTAAAATTTTATGAATTTGTCTTCTAAAATTTTATGAATTCGTGGATTCATGACAGGAACAACCGTTCTCAAGCATAGTAGGGGTTCTCAAAGACTGGGTGAAGCTGGTCTTGCACTGCACTATGCTAACATTATCAATCAGATAAACATGATTGTAAGTTTGTACCAATTGCTAACCTAACTAATAGTATCCTTAGCAAGTTGTCATTGTTGTCTTAAAAAAATTAACTTATATCAGGCATCTCGCCCAACCGTTCTTCCTCCAAATGTGAGGGACACATTGTATCACGGGTTGCCTAATAATATTAAGAATGCACTTCCTTCACGGTTGCAAAACGTTGATGTCACAAGAGAGGTATCCCCTCCCATCATGGTCTCGCTTGCTTCTTGATAATTGCAATATTTATTTCCTGTTGTAATATTCTAATTGGAAATCTTCTATAGCTCTCCATCACAGAGGTCAAAGCTGAAATGGATAAGATACTCCGGTGGCTCACCCCACTAGCCACAAATACGACCAAGTAAGATAACATTTTTTCCTTGCACATGCTAACCTTGTTTGGTTATTTGAAGAATAAAAAGGGTCAAAGTCAAATATTCCTTAAATTGTTTGCTTATGTAATTTATTTATTTTTCCTTTGGCAGAGCAAATCAAGGTTTTGGATGGGTTGGAGAATGGGCAAATACAAGGTTAATTTTTTTCTTTGTATTTATATACAGTACATTTCAAGTTAGTGGTACGGTTTGTGGTAATTTTTGTTGTGAATTGCAGTAATGAATATGGTGAAAACATGGCCAAAGAGAGTAACCTGATACGTCTCCAAACACTTTATTATGCTGACAAGCAAAAAATAGACTTTCACATTATTGAATTGTTAACTTGGCTTCACCATTTGGTTAACTTTGTAAGATATAGGCATAATGCCAAGAGGCCAATGCCTACAAGAACTTCTCCTAAGCGACTTGATTGTCAGTCAAAGATGCTGCAATTTATATCCTTAGACCGAATTAGCAAGCCATTAGGAACTCAACTTTCTCCAGAGGATAAGAGATTATTGGAGGAGGTAACTATAAAGAGGAGTAGTCCGGGAGTTAGTAAGAGCGAGGATCTCGCCGTGACCAAGAAAAAAGGAGCCAGAATTTGGCCCTATAGCAAGAGTGTAGGGGGTTCACCTGTTACAACAAAGGGTTGGGAGCACCCAAACTCAAATGTTTTGGATACTATGGATGGACTATAAGAAACTTACATTTTGTTTATTTACCTTCCAATGTTAACATTTCATTTTATTTTATTTTATTTTTACTATTATTAGTTTAAACTAAGGCCTCGTCTTTTGATTTTCAAGTTAAATTTTTTGTATAAGAAAGAAAGATAGAAGAAAATAACTTTCATTTCTTCGGGTGATATTTTCGTATGACATTGATGAATTCAAACTGTTTATTATTGGAAGTCTTCATTCTAACGGGTATAAAAAGTTAAAATGTGTAATTATATAAATAAATAATCAAATATATATACTTCATTGCATTTTCACAAATTTTCCCTTATTATTTGTATTTGTAAATTAACTTTTTTTATAACAATTATTTCATTTAATCACATCACTATGCCAAGTAGGGCATATAATTTATACTTAAACACAAATTTAGGAAGAGAAAAAGATATTTGCATATTTAAAACAAAATTAATATTTTTATTTTTGATTAAGTGTCCTTCAAGCTAGGGATCAGATGGGCTACAGTAGAGTGCCCTGATGTCGTAACCAGGCGGGGGCGGACACCCCTCTCGCATATTTAATGCGAGTTATAACCACTCCTCATGTCCCCGTTACTGCCTGAAGGATCATGGATTTTAAGTGAATAAGCTTGTTCATCTTATAGCACTAAATCTAATTCTGTCTTGTAATACTAATCGATGTGGGACTTATAATACCGCTTTACCTTCTGTTATTTCTCGATTAATAACACTCGTTCTATTGTACGCCAAAACACAATAGAACAATTGCTACGAGCTGTGCTCTTGGGAATGTTTTAAGCGGTCAAAAATAATCATGATCAAATTTATCTGTGCAAATCGAAGTGAAGTTTGCTGCGCTTCTGAATTTGCAACGATTGACTGCAAATTGCCAAATTCACGCGTTCAATTGGATTGCCTTTCACTCCTTTCTGATCAGCACTTCAAGGTCTCACTTGCCGTTGCTTTGAAATGTAAACACACCACCTTCATAGTCACTAGAAACAAAGGATACTTTGGGTTTAGTCTCATGTGCCAGACTCAACCGAATATAAGCAATCTATATGACCTTTCTATGTTCAATAAAACGCAATTGGATCGTCAAGTTTCAATACATGTCAAATGGGTTGAATGGGTCTTCATTATCGCACCTCAACTGAATTGTTATGCAATTACTCTAATGGAGTAGGCCTTGACTAGGCAGGCATTACTCGCGCCACGAAATGGGATTGATAATCACGCCTCCTAGTTCTTATTTACGGTTTTTGTGCCATGACAAGCCATAAAAACTTATTATTGTACTAGTGGAGTAACTTATCCTCAATAATATTCTATGCCCCATTGGTGACATTTTCATACAAATTGCTAATTGCAAGTAAGGAGAGAAAGGTTTATTTTAGATTTAAGGATGAGAAAAACATGAATATAGATTTTTATTGTATTGATTTTGTGTAAAAGAGAAATCATCTCTATTTATAGAGATAACTAGAACTAGACGTATAGTCTTATTGTTACTTAAGTTAAAATAAATTTACTTTAACCTAAATAGAAAATATGACAAAAATTATTTTATATAAAATTTGTTTAAGCAAATTCTAAAGTTATTTAAACAAATGTTATATACTCTCTCCTATATGTCTAACACTTATTGTTTAACTTTTTTTTTTTCTCTTTTTTGATGCTCATACTCAACCTTTTTCTTCCTCAACTCCTTCATTCTTCCACCTCATCTTATATTCAACTCCCCTCTTTCTCTCTCATCCTCACCCCATACTCAACTCTCCTCTTCTTCTCCTCACCTTTGCCTCCACCCCATATCTACTTCTCTATCTCTTCTCCTCATACTCAACTCCTTCCTCTTGATCCTATACACCAGCTCTCCCTATCTATATTAATCTTCAAACCTTTCTTCCTGTTACACTCGCCCTTCTCTCCTCCTTTTAATGAGAAAGACGTAAAATTTGTTTACCTAAACTAAATTTATTTAAGCAAATTTTGTGTACAAATTTTTTTGTTATTTTTTATATTTTTGTTTAAGTAAATATATTTTTGCTAAAATGAAATTAAATGTCCAATTCTCACTACAATAAGAGAAATATGAATTTTTATGTAATATATGTTGATATGATCTCAATTGTTGGAAACATGCAAAGAATTGGGTGAGGACTTAAAAATTGAGATGTGTTCTTTTCCTCAATTCAATGCATGATATAATTTTGCAAACCAAGTTTTGACATTTTATTAGAGTTGTTAATTATAATCTATTATGTCTAAGTGAAACTTTATTGATGTGAATGAGCTATAATATTTTTATTATTTAAATGTAAAAGTATTTATATCATATATTATAATTATAATGTAAACTTAGACTAAGCATCAGTGTTTTGAGTATCTTTTGAATAAAAAAAAAATATTGTCAAATCATTTTAAAGTGATCAAGCTATGTGAAATGATCTAAATCATAAATACTTTTAAGAACAAATTCATAGTATCTAATTGCACACATCATTTTTTTTCCTTTCTTTGTTTAGCCAATTCACAAGCGAAAAAAAAAAAAACTTATATCTCATTTTTTATTCTATAATTTTGTTATATATTTTGATCAAATCAAATTTCAAAACTTAAGATCAATTAATTTAATGGAACGTTTCTTTAAAAGAAATAAAAATTTCTTAACTTATAGAAATAAGGTTTTTATGTAATTAGTGTAAAAAATATTATTGTTTCTTTTCAAAAATTTAAGTTGTGAAAGAAAATTGTGACTCTTGTTTAAGATTTTTTTTTTCTATTTTTAAGCAAGTTTTTGTGAAATAAATGATGGTTAAAGAGCACATGGAGTTTTAGCCAAAACAAAGGAACATGGAATTTTAGTTGAAATGAAAGAATATTTTTTACTAGTTTTTATAGGAAAGTTGTGACCTTAAAAATATGAATTTTAGTCCAAGAGTGACATTTTGATAAGTTTTTGGCAGAGTCACAAATATTTGTTTTACAAATAAAATTATAAGGTATAATAATGTCAACATTAATAAAAAAAATGTTTTAAGATGTTTTCAGAAAGTATTATCATTGTTAACAGATGATGTTAAAAATTGATGGAAGATTCTTTGTTAAAGAAAATAAATCAAGTTATTTTTCATGAAGTACAAAGGCTTAAAAAAATGAAGAAATTTGTCTCAAAGATTCAATATAACAAGAGCAATTATGAACAGTTGTATGCAACGTTTTAGGAAGTTATATTGTAAAAATGTGTTTTAGACCGTTATATTGTATTAAGTCTATAAACAAAATTTCAAATTATAACATAGAAGACTGACTTCCCACTCAAACATTTGTACTTAATATCTCATCAATTGCCAACATTTTAAGTACACTAGACCAACTGAAAGAAATCAATAATTACTTTATCTCAATTGAAAGTTGTGTTTTTTGTAATGCATTTTCAATTTACAAATTCATTGTTATTTAATTTTTTATTACTTTATTTCATATATTTTTATGATTCTTCTCTTTTTTTTTCATTTTATTTTTATTTTATCTTCTACCTGCGACGTTAATTAATATATTTCATTCAAGAAAACATTATGAAAACTTGTTAAAAAAGATTTAAAATTTAATTTAAAATTATTTTTGAATTTATTTATTTGCTGAAAAATTTATTGTAAATAACACCATAAAAAATATGAGATGTCTCCGCCCTAATTTGCACAAACTTCAGTAAATTTTTATAAAAACAAAATTAAGTAATAAATGAATTAATATTTTCTCATAAGTTAAAACTACCTTGCATTTCTCTTTTTTTTCAAAATTTTTAAGTTTATTTTTTTAATTTTCAAATATAAATAATTTTTAAGTTATAAATAAAATAGACGTTAACCGTTAACTAATCTATCCAGTTTTACCTTTTGTTCTTAACCTCGTATCTATGTTTAACAGTTCAGTGTCTATGTGGGACTTGTTAATCAACACTTCCGTTATCTAAAAGAAGCCCAATTGATTTTGCGGAACAACATTGCTGTGTTGTTAAAGTTCTGGGCCTCGAAATGAGTTTTTAAAATACATAAAATATTTTAAAAAATGTATTTTAGCAATTTTAATAATATATTTTTTAATATATTCTTTTATCATTGAATAAAGTTTATATTGGTTCCATTTAAAAAAAAAAAACTTGGATACTCCTCTTTTGACGAGACCTTTAGAAAATTATAATAAACAATACTGTGACAAAAAAAATTAATAGTATTTTTTAAATTTTCTATATCCTGTATAAAAGTATAATTATTCTATTCAATATTGCTGTGAACGATTTTGTTAAAAAAATGTTATCTTTAAAAGAATAAATAATGAATTATTTGTTTTTATGATTTAATATATCAATATTAATGTATAATTTAAATTAAATTATAAATAAATATTTATTTTTAAAAAATTGATAAAATTATTTTCTTTTTGCGAGCATTACTAAAAAAAATGTAATTTAATACACGAAAAGAGAGACGAAGAGGTTAAGAGAAAAGTGCGTGAGAATGAGAAGGGGCTCTAAAGGGAGGACAGAGCATAGAGAGGTTGAGAGAGGGTGCAAGTTTTATGAAATTGAACTAGTTAATTGGAGTAAATTTGTGTAAAAAAAATTACTTTAGTGTTATTTGATGTTAAATACCATATTATGATATTATTTTTTTTAACTTGTAGTTGAGGATTGAAATATAAATATAATATAAACATTTAATTTTAAGAGATATTAATGATAGATATTATAAATTATAATATTATTTATTTAAAATTAATGATAATAACTATATAAATTTAGGGTGGCAAATAAATTAACATTAAAAAAAGTGTATTCATTTTTATAATATGTATTTTAATTTTAATTATAAATTATAAATGTATAAAAAATTATTAAATTAAAAGTGGAAAAAGTGAAAGAAATATAATTTTAATTAACTTATTTAATTATTAAAAATATGTTGTTAAAATTATTTCTATTTGTCAAATCTGTATAAACATATGTATTTATAGTAGTGCACGTGTTGATGAACGAGCACACGCTTATGCTTGTGGGGATATTAATCCCATTAAGTTTTATATTAATCCTACTGGACTACGTTTTTGGGCTGAACATGTGTATGGGATGATTAGTCCAAATCAGGGAATAAAATGACAATAATGAATCATGAGTTCAACCTTTTCTACTTTTTGACAGAAAAGAAAAAAAAAATTCTACTTAAAATTTTCAATATTTAATTTTAATTTTTAAATTATTAAAAAATATTATCATTTGTTAATAAATAAAACTATCAAACATTAATTTTTTATATTCATAAATTATTTACTATTATACTAATATTTTTTAATAAAATTTTATTATTGTTGATTGCTTAAACTCAATTATTGGTTAACAAAATCGTATAGAATAATACATCATACTATAAGTAAATATACAATATGTCAATATTGATATTAGTAGCTTAATTTTCGCTAAAAATGTTATACTAAAGAATGCAAATTTAATATCGAAATATTCATAAATATTATTTTAATAAAATTTGAAGACAATAGTTACTCCCTTTTCTTGTTAAACTAGTTCCT